TACCTCTTTGGTGACCAGTTCAGTCCCCACCCAGCTGGAGCTCAAGAGGTTAGAAGATAGAATCATCTAGCCTCTCTGAGATCACCAGTCCTGAGGGTAGACTAGCCTCTCTGGCTCAAGTCCTGATGCGAGGCGCAGTATCAGAGTCTTGGTTAAGGGCCCTCTCTACTTGTGACTGGATCGTCAGTCCCTGACCATCATCCCTATCATATGGGTCTAAGCTCGCGACCTGTGCGCTGGGACAGCTGGGGAGTAGGCAGTGGGAGAAGACCCCCGGGGAGAGGGGCCAGCCGCCAGAGGAACAATCACTTTAAGTGCTGCTGCCACCAGGCCCCCTGTTCCCCAGCTGGAGTCGAGGGGAGAAAAAACTCCCCAAAGAAGTGGGTCTCAGGGCCAGGCCCGGGCCCTTCCTGAGGGTGCGCGCCGAGACCCTCCGCGGGCCGCTCTACACTGAGGTCCTGCCCACCTGGGCCCACTGCTCTCCCTTCCTCGGGCCTGGCTGTCACCCCAGGGGGGCTCCTTGGGGCCCCATTGGCATCTGAAGATGGATCCCGACCAAATAGCAGATCATGCTGCTCTGAGATGGAGATCTGCCTGACCACTCGGGGTATCTGGGGGGCTGAGGGGGATGTGGGGGTCGCGGGCGGGCTCCACAGGAGCTGTGGGGTTCTGTGCCAGGGGCTGTTGAAGCTGTTCAGGAGCCGGTCCCAGTCATCATTGTCCTCGAACAGTCCCGGCAGGGGCGCCTCCTCAGAGGAGACCGCCTGAGGGTCGGGAGCCTCGTCCTCACCTGCTCTGGGGACACTGGAAAGGGGTGGGAGCTCAGGTCAGGGAGGCAGGCGGACGCACACCAGTCCCGCCTGCAGCCCTCACACAGCTGACACCTCAGTTGCACACGAGACCTGTGAGTGAGTGTGAATGTGCGTGTGCGTGTGCATGTGCGTGTGTGTGTGTGTGAGTGTGTGCGTGTGTGAGTGTGTGTGAATGTGTGAGTGTGTGTGTGAGGGTGTGTGTGTGTGTGTGTGTGTGAGTGTGTGTGATTACGTGAGTCCATGTGTGTAAGTGTGTATAAGTGTGTGAGTGTGTGTGAGTGTGTATATGAGTGTGTGTGAGTGCGTGAATGCATATGTGTGTGTATGAGTGTGTGAGTGCATGTGTTAGTGTGTGTGTGTGAGTGTGTTTGAGTGTGTGTGAGTGTGTGTGTGTGAG